CCCGGGCAACGGCGCGACGTCCTGCGGGCCGGGCGTCCCGGGCGGCGCGAGGTCTGAAGGACCTCGCCTCAGGAGTCTTGCTACCCTGCGGGTCCGCGGCCCCTCCAGTTTTGCAGCGGTCCGCGTCTCTGCGGCGCATCCTCTCCTTTCCTCACCCCCTAGCCTGCGTGGCCGCGGCCGCCTGACTGTCGTCCCTTCGCCCCAGCCTCTCCCCAACCTGCCCTGACTCGTTTGGTTTCCTGCTTCCTCTTCAGGCTTCTAATTGTTGCTAATTCTGTGAGGGATGGCGCGTGTAGCGGACTCGCCCGGCCACATAGTTTTTGGGGAGGCGGTGGAGGACTTTTAGGAGGCGGTGGTCGGGGTGAGGCTGGCAGCCGCCGCGGGGCAGCGCGCACGGGCGCCCGGGCCGGGAGCCGGGCGAGGAAACGAGTACTGCCCCCTGGGCTGGGACAGGCTCCGCGGGCTCGAGGGGAGTCCTGGGGTCAGGCCCTCGGCCCCATTCTGTCCTGTATGGCCAACGCTGCCTGCCCAGAGCCGGCCCGGAGTCCCATTTGCTAGTAATAGCTCCTGCGCCTGCAGCCCCTTTTTCTGTAAGCTGCGTCAAGTCGGAAGCTCTTGGGTTTTTTCCCCGCTGAGCACACCTATGAAACGGAGTACTCGAAAGTTGTTCTTTTTCAGAGGAGGAGCTCTGTGATGAGCCTTCATTCAGTTAGAGTGAGTGAGTCATTAAGGCAGGTGGGGAATTCTAGGTGCCAAGACAATAGTTAGGAAACTTGTGATTGAAGCTCAGCTGTGCGACATCCTCCATTTCAAACAATTTAAAATTTCTTATAAAACTTCATTGTGCATCTTCCGTCTCTGTTTCCCTGGGGAAAACGTAATTACCTACACCCTTTCCAGAGGCCTTTGACCTCTGATGCTCTTTCCTGCCCCCCCTTTTTCATTTAGTTTCTGAATTGTGTGGTTAGAGGGAACATGCTCATTTGTTAATGAGCACTGAATATTTTTTAGACATATTATCTGCTAGCACGGCGTAGCTTACTCTATTTTTGGTGCATTTTCCTCTCTTGTATGTCACACTCCAGTGGGTGGAATCAACATACATTGAAGCAGTTTCCCCTGATATAGAATCTATAAAGTTATGATTAATTTTGTATGTCTAAGATTCTGAAAGTGCATCCTATTAATAACTTGCAGAAAAGAGAGGATAGAACACATTCCAAAAATTGGCAACTGTATAATATGAAATTAAAACTTATGTCTTTTATACATAAGTTTACAGATTCATTTATAAACATGAAAATTAGACTGTAACAAGATTATTTCTTAATATGAGCACAGTACTTTATACTTGTACTTTATAAAAGTATGTACTTTATAGTTAAAGTATGTACTTTATAGTTATTTTATTATGCAGCATGTTTTTATTGACTATAAGTTTGATTTTGTAGTTAGAACTGTTGAGATATGAATATGACTAAGATAAATGCCCAGATTCATAGTGTAGTAGAGGTGGTTCTAGAATATAGTCTTCTGAACCTCCACATTCTCTGCCAAAGAATTGGATGTTATTATTCAGTCTTCCTGTTAGTAAGATGTATCTGATGGTACAAATAGTAGAGTAGGAAGTTGCAGTTTAGCAATTCATCTGGTAGCATTTCCTTCTATAATTTCTGGTAGATAGTTTTATTTTGAAGTTTCATGGTTATTTTGCTGAATAAATTTGCTGTTTGACTGTTTAGAATGCTAATGATTTTAAAACTTGGAGTAAGCCACTTAGTGTTTTGTTGACTTGGCTTTGTAATTCTTTTTTGCCCAGTTTGAATAGTTCCTGGTCAACATAGAAATGTGGAGTGTCTTGGCTGAATCCTCATGCAAATAAGATCATTATGGTCCCGGAAGGTAGGGCAAGTATCCAGATCTTTTATCTTACAACTGTAAATGTACTTCATATGCTCCTGGGTTTTGTTTTGTTTCTTAATTGGATTCTCTGTCTTTCCCAAAAGATGTTAACTCTCTCTTATTCCATTGATTGTAATACTATCAAGTGTGGAGTTGTTCCAAAAGCCAAATAAGAACTTAGGACTATTTATCAAAATATATAGTATTTCTGATTTTTTATTTCTGTAGTTCCAAAATTGGATTTACTCTGTAAAGTCCTCTGTGGCTTTATTCTGGTTTAGTTTGGAGACCAAATGTCTACTCATAAACCATCATTGAAATAACTTGATAGTAGATGCTACTCTATACCTGGAAGAGACTAGGTGAATAAATAGCTTTTGATTTTGTTTCACACAGCCTTTGGAATCCTGGATAAATATATTATCATCCAAACTATATCTGAAGGGACTGATAAATATTTCAGAATATCATGGAGAATTATTTTCATCCTACCTTTTTTTGTTTTTAATATATTTTTTATTATGTCTTCATTGAAAGAGGAAGAGAGAGGGAGGGAGAGAGAGAGAGAGAAACATCAATGATGAGAGAATCATTGATTGGCTGCCTCCTGCACTCCCCCTACTAGGAATCACGCCTGCAACCCGGGCATGTGCCCTGACCTGGAATCGAACCTCGATTTCCTGGATCATAGGTTAATGCTCAACTGCTGAGTCATGCTGGCCAGGCTTCATCCTGCTTTTTTAAATTGCATATGGTACAAATACAGAATTCTGTTAAATAGATATTATCTTGTGATGTAATCAGTTTACGTCCCTGCGGGGGTAAGAAATCCTGGAGATCAAGGATTTATTCTTAAATTTTTTTTAAATTAGTTTTTAAAGCATTCACTTTTTTATTTATATACAAGATATGTTGCTACACAGTATTGTTACCTATTGGCAATTTATTTGCAGAATATCCAGTTTTCATTAGCTGTCTATCCTGACCAAGCCATTACAAGCAGGACTAAAAGTCAGTTCTCTAAGAAAAATTATATACCCAAAATTAAGGCCCACTTGTCTGCACTTTCATTTCATGGATATGTCAAATGTTCATTCATTGAAGAAATATGTAGTGTACCTACTGTATATCAACTGTATACCAGGCTCTCTTATAGCTTGAGGAGTACAGTGGGGGACAGGACAAGACCCATGCTTTTAAGTGGCTTATAGTCAGGTATATAAGGTGCTGACCTGGATATTGATCTCTGAGAATACACAACCTTATTGACACCTATACACAGTTAACAGTAAAAAACACTATGCAGTGATAGATAAAGGGGAGATGGGGTGGACCCTAAGTGCTATAGGAATTTGGAGGCAAGAAAGATTGTTATAGTCAAAGTTTACAGGAGGAGATGGATTGAAAGGAAAAGAGAAGGCTTTCTGGGAAGGTAGAACAGTGCGAGTAAACTTCAGTGTGTGCTTGAGACTAGGAGTAATTTAACTAGAGTAGTGGTTCCCAAAGTGTGGTCCACAGACCAGTCGCACTAGCATCACTTGAGAACTTGTTAGAAATGCAACTTCTCAGGCCTCACTTGAGACCTACTGGAGTGTAAATGCTGGTAGTGAGGCTCAGCAATCTATGTCTTACAAGCCCTTTAGGTAGTTCTGATGCATGCTGAAGTTTGAGAACCGCTATACCAAGAGCAGAGGGTTTTTATGTGAAATATTGGGCAAAAAACTTTGGTAAGGTAGCTTTGGAATTCACAGTGAAGGACTTAGAATATTAGGCCAGGAGTTTATCTTTTATCCTACAGAGCAGAGTCACCAACTTGTAACCTGAGAACTGGATTTGGCCCATAGATGTGTTTTGTTTGGCCTGTACAGTGATTTGGGGGGAGTTGTTTTTTACTTAAATGGAGCTAGTTGTTTTCAATAACTAAATGAAATTGTCACTATTTAAAAGTAGATTCTATATACAAATCTGTGCTTTCATCTTATGTTAAAAAATAAGACTTGGTGATACTGTGCCTATATTTCATCGTGGCAGCAGTTTGTGGAAATAGCAAGCAACTACCCATTTAGGTGGGACATGTGCTCTCCAGTTTTCTGAATATCAGCACTACCCTTCAGAATTTAAATCATAATTCGCTGTGTGCTGAGGAGGTAGCCCAGGGTTGGAGTGTTGTTGTAACTGTTACTCTTTTGAAATAGTAACCACCGTTTTTCCGCTTATGATTATATGTTTGAAGTGCTTGGTTCCCTTTTTTCTTAATTTTTTTTTTTTACTGCAGTAAAATATAACAAAAATTGACATTTTAACCATTCTAAGTGTGTAATTCAGTAGTATGAATTACATTCACATGTTGCACAACCATAATTACTGTCTACTTCCAGAACTTTTTCATCACCCCAAACAGAAACTCCGGACCTGTTAAGTAATAGCTTTTATTCTTCCCTCCCCCCAACCCTTGGTGACCTCAAATGAATTTGCCTATTTGTTATTTCATATAAGTGAAATCATATAATATTTGTCTTTTTGTGTCTGGCTTCTTTCACTTAGCATAACATTTTCAAGGTCCATGTTATAGCATGTGTCAGAACTTCATTCCTTTTTATAGTTAAATAATATTCCATTGTATATATGTGTATATCATTTTGTGTATGTATCGTTTTGTTTGTGATGGGCACTTGGTTTGTTTTAACTTCTGGCTGTTGTGAACAACGCTGCAGTGAACATTGGCATAGAAATACCTATTTGAATCCCTGTTTTTGATTCTTGTGGATATGTACCTAGGACTGAGACTGGCTTGGTCCCTTTTAACCACATGCTCATAATGGTAAGCGGCTGGTCTCGAACACACTCGAAGAACACAGATGGTATTTGAACTCTTCATAGTCAAAAAAAGACCGCACACAAAGTGCATGAACAGACTTGTTTATGGATTAGCTCCTTAATCCTTCCCCCCGCCCCATACGTACACAGAAATCGACACTAGCTTTTAGAGTCTGACTTCTTCCTTTTGTTTTTGCTGATTGTACAAACAGGTGATTTTACAAGAGTGACTGCAGCTGTAGTTTGAATAAGAAGGAAGTGTGAAAGAGGAGGAGCCCAGGAGTACTAGGCTACAAGTCACGAGAGGAGCATGGTGATCTAGTTTCCAAAGCCTGAACCAGAGATTCAAAACAAATATAGAAAGAGACAACTGCGTCAAAAATAGGCATACTGACAAGAGAGATAAGAGAGAACTTTGCTCTTGTGAGTGTCCATTTTTATTTTCAACAGGTTGAAAAAAGTGACATATTAGTTGAAAGACATAAAGGGGAAAGCCCAGAAGGAAAAGGAAAAATTGGTAAAGTCACCAATATAAAGTAATACCTCACTTCTCTATAGGTCAGGTTTCTGCAAATTATGGTTTTTTATTCCAAGCTGAGAGCTCATAATAATGAAAAGGGATCTGTGAGCCACTAAAAGAACTGTCAAAGTTCACAACCCTTATTCTCTTGAAGAGATCCTTATTTGCATAAGTTAACATTAAAGTCTAATAAATACGGCTCTCTCATATCCCACAAAAGATTTTTAAAAATTAGATGGTGAAAGCTTATTGAAGGAGTCAGGCACATAAAAACACTGATCAGTGATGATAGATAGCTTGATGTCAAGGAAAATTGGCTCAAAAAACATAGTAATGGGACCATTTAGTGGCAGAAGGGCAAACAGTCCTATTGACCTGTAGCTTCTGGAGGCACCAAGTTTACAGAAAAATATAACTAATGATCATAGTCACAACCATAAATAAAATGTCACTTCAGAAACATTTTTACCAAACACTGTTAAAATAAAAATGTTATGGTATTTAGAGGGGAAGCATCTTAAAAACATATTTGAGAAATTGTACTTATATGGAACCCCAATTCCTTGCTTTATATACATGAGGTATCATTGTAATATTTCAGTCTTTCTCATATTTTTCACTTTCAATTTAACATGTTTGAAGTAGTAGCTACTTTTCAGTTGATAACAAGAAAGGGAAAACATGTTTTTACTTCTCTTCCCACAAACTCCAGTATAAACAGTGACAAATGACATTAATCCTTGCAGTTAGTCTTCTGCAATAAGTGCCTCCCACAATGGGTTTGGAGGCAGGGATAGTTTATCACCTTAGATTTTCATTATATTTGCTCATTGGGACACTTTTAACCCTCTCCTGGTTGCTAGCATTTTCTTAATCTAAAGGACTTTCACTTTTAATGAAAGGCCCTGTGACTTCTGACAAACAAGAGGCAGCGACAGCAACAGCTTTCTTTCCCCATGCCGTGATTATTATAGCTAAGTCAAACCTGAAACAATGAAGAATAAAGTGATGCACTATCTGATCTCATTTTGCTATACCATCCAAATTGTTTCATTGTACAGAATGGGCCTTTTTGACACTTGTCTAAGGATGTTTTGATTAAAATGTGATAAAGTACAGAAATAAGTGATCTGTGTATAGGAAAGAATTTTATTATATTTGTTGGTAACTACCAGCACATCAACTCTGATTCCTTTATTGGGAGTTAGAGTATTTGATTTTAGGGTTGGAGGAACCTAAAAGATATCAACCAGCCTTCAGATTTGGGCTGAGCTCTTGAGGTAAGAATCTTCCTCTCCCCACCAGCATGAGACAGCTCATACTGGAAAATCCTTCTTCCTGTTCAGTCTTTCATCTTGTAGTTTCTGTGCTCACAGGTCTCAGTATAGCTCCTTGGCAATGATCTGATAAAAGTTGATTGAAAATTTTTTTATTGATTGATTTTAGAGAGAGAGAGATACATCAATTTTGTTTTTCAGCTGATTTATGCATTCATTGGTTGCTTTTTGTATGTGCCCTGACCCCAGATCAAACCTGCAACCTCGGCATATTGTGGTGACACTCTAACCAGCCGAGCTACCCAGCCAGGGCTAAAAGTTGATTTTTAATATACCTTTTATTTAGTTGATATTTGAAAAATGTTTGTTGTAGAAGTTTTCAAATCTGTGCCAGTTGTCGGACTTGTCTCTTTCTATTAAATATCTCTTCAGTACCTAAGTATTAATGCTACTATTGTATGATTGGAAACTTTTTTCTGTATGTAGCATGAAGGAAGTTGCTATTCTGTTAATATAAATATTTTTACTCTATATCTTCTTTGATTTAGTATTTAATTTCACTGTTAGGTTTATTACTCAGTTATTAACTGCTGTCTTTAATATTAAATATAATGACTCACTTATTCCTACTCTTTCCTAAATATATCTTTTATTTAAAATGTTTAAATTCATTTTCACCCATAAAAACAAAGAGGACATTGTGTGAGTTGTAGTTTTTCTGATTTTAATTCCTTTTATTAAGTAAGATTTTGGGACTGTAACAGAAAAAAATGGAAAGTTTCAAGTGGAACATGATATTTTCAGGAAAGTTGAAAGTCCATATTGTTTTTAATTTTTAAGAGTTAATATCTTTTCAATAACATATACTTCTTAAAACAAGTATGTAAGCTGTGTTAATAGAAATATATATAAACTGCAGAAAAAGCTGAACACAGCCCAGCTGGGCGTGGCTCAGCTGTTGAGCATTGACCTAGGATCCAGGAGATCCTGGTTGGATTCCGGTCAGGGCACATGCCCAGGTTTCCGGCTTGATCTCCAGTAGGGGGCTTGTAGAAGGCAGCCTATCAATGACTCCCTCTCATCATTGATGTTTCTATTTCTCTTTCTCCCTCTCCCTTCCTCTCTTTGAAATCAATAAAGATACATTTTTTTAAAAAAAAGTGAACACAAAATATTATGCAAATACTAAATATAACTTACTGTAGCCCAATTTCTAAGATGGCCCCCAATGATCCTCACCTCCTAATATTCATGCCCTTGTGTATTCCCCTTACATATTTCATCAGGGTTGCTCTGGATGACCAAAGGAATATGGGGGGAATGATAGTTATAAATAAGGCCAAGTCTTAAAAACCATTGTCCTTCTGCCTTGCTTTCTCTTGAGTTGTCCACTGTGGAGGAATCCAGCGAGCATGTTGTAAAGACATTCAAGGCCTTATGTAGAGTCTGCATAAGAAACAGCTGAGGCTTCCATTCAACATACAGCCATCAGCTTGCCAACCATTGAGTGAGCCATCTTGGAGATGGGTCCTCAGCCTCAGTGAAGCCTTCAGATGACTGCAGCCCCAGCCTACATCTTGTCTGTAATATCATAAGAGACCCTGAGCCAGAATTGTCCAATTAAGCCACTCTCAAATTACTGAACTACAGAAATTGTGAGATAATAAATATTTATTGTTTTAAGCACTAAGTTTTGGGGTTATTTGTTGTGTAGCAATAGATAACTAATGTACAGCATCTTAAAATATTTATTGGTTTAATAAATAGAAAAGAATTTGGACAGTGTGGATTAAGCTCTCAACCTGGGTGTGTGCTCTGACTGGGAATTGAACAGTGACCTCCTGGTTCATAGGTTGATGCTCAACCACTGAGCTACGCTGGCCAGGCAGCTGTCTTTTTTAAAAATATGTTTTTGTTGATTTTTAGAGAGAGAGGAAGGCAGAGGAATAGAGAGATAGAAACATCAGTGACAGAGAAACATTATCGATCGGCTACCTCCTGTATGCCCCTGACTGGGGATTGAACCTGGGATTGAACCATGACCTCTCGATTCCTGGTCAATGCTCAACCACTGAGCCACACCACAGTTTATTCCTATTGTCAGTTACACTCTTCTAGATGCTTGGGCTATATCAGTAAAGAAAAAAGAGTCCTACTCACAAGGAGCTAATATTCCTATTAGAGGAACACAGACAATAAACAGAATAAATAAGCTATCTAGAATGTGGTAAGTGGCTATGGAAAGAAGAAAAAGTAGATCAGAGTAGAGACGATTGAGAAAATAGGTGGAGGAGCCCTAGCCAGTTTTGCTCAGTGGTTAGAGAGCATCGGCCTGCAGACTGAAGGGTCCTGGGTTCAATTCCAGCCAAGGGCATGTACCTCGGTTACAGGCTCCATGCCTGGCCCTGGTTGGGTTGGGGTGCATGCAGGAGGCAACCAGTCGATGTGTCTTTTTCACATTGATGTTTTTTTCTCTCTCCCTCTTCCTTCCACTCTCTCTGAAAAGCAATGGGAAAAATAATCCTCGGGTGAGGATTTAAAAAAGGAAGAAAGAAAAGTGGAGGAGATGGCACATGAAGGAGGGGGGTTTATAGTATTAAAGATAGGCCTCAAGAAGTGGCATTTGAACAGTGATTTCAAGGAGTTGTAGGAATTTATCAAGTGGATGTATGGAAAAGATTGTTTTAGACAAAGGTCCTGATGCAGGAGCATGTATGACATATAAGCACAGGGGTCAGTGTGGGGAGAGGAGGGTGAAAACTTAGTAGATGAGGTCAGAGAGGCAATGGTGAGGGAGACAGAGCAGGTGGATCTATGAAGGCTGTTGTTGGGACCTTGCTACTGTGAGGGAAATGGGAAGCCATTGCTTGATTTTGCAGAGGAAAGAGACGTGCTCTGACATATTTTAGAAGGATGACTTTAGTTGCTTGCTAAAAATATACAGTAGAGTGAGGGTAAAAGCAGAGATCTGTTAGGACAATATTAGGGTAAATCACATGAGAGATGATGGTGGTTTGGATCAAGGCGATAGCAGTGGAAGTGGTCAGAAACTGTCAGATTCTGGAAATGTAATGAAGGTAGAACCAACAGGAAACATCAGAAGCTCTTGGCCATGTGTAGACTTTGATATTCTGATGCCAGTCTAACTTTCTAGCTTCATCTCTGCTCTATACTCCCACCCCATATCCATCTTTCACTAGAGCCATACTGGCTGACCCTTCCTGTGTGACCTAGTGGTTAAAACTGTGGGTTCTGGAATTAGACAATCTGGGTTTGATTTCTGGCTCTTTTCACTTACTACTGTGTAGTCTTAAATTAGTTTCTTAAGCCTCAGTTTTCTCATTTATTGACTGGGGATGTTAATAATAGAACCTACCTCACAGAGTGGTATTGTGAGATTAAGTGAGGTAATCCATGTAAAATACCTAACATAGTGCTTGGCAAGTATTAAGGTCTCAATAAATATTAGCTGCTATTATTACCTCGGGTTGTGTTCTTTTGGCCACACTCTTTCTTTTGCATTAAATGTTAACCCTCCGCTTCTATACCCTCCTCCATTATGGTCTACTTCATTTTTTTCACTTTGTTTCTCAAATCTGTATGATAGAAATTCTTGGGGAAATTTAAAAATGAAATCAAATTATCCATAATTTCCCTACTATCTGTTTTCATCTTTTTATAGCTCCTCTGGTTTTTGTCCATATGTCTCTATTATTTATGCAGTTACTGCTATTCACTTTTCATGTCAGTTTAAATGTCATCTCACGATGCCTTTCCTAATCCTCTGCGCAGATTAAGTCCTGTGCTTTGGGCTCCTTTAGCATTTTTCTGATTAACTTAAAAAGGTGTGGTTATTTGTATATACATCTGTCACTTCTGCCAAACTCTGAGTATCTTGAATAAAAACATCTGTTTATTCACCTTTAATTCTCTAGCTCCTAGTACTTAGTAGGCATTCAACAAACATTTGTAGAATTAGACAACTGAGTGGAGCTTTCCAGGGCTCTCCACCCCAATCACTCTTACATATAACTGTCAAGATTCATACTTGTGACATTCCCTTGCTCAGAATCTCCAGTGGTTTCTCATCGCCTGCAGAGTAAAGTTTAAACTCCTTAGATGAGCCCTGGCCAGGTAGCTCAGTTGGTTAGAGCACCGTCCTGATATGCCAAGGTTATGGATTTGATCCTCAATCAGGGCACATGTAAGAATCAGCCAGCAGATGCATAAATGAGTGAAACAATGGATCCATGTTTCTCTCTCTCTCTCCCTCCCCACTCCCTGCCCCCCCCCCTTAGCTGAGTATTTGGTGCTCTACTATCTGATCTCAATTTGCCTTTCCAACTTTATTTCCTACTACAGTTAGTCAAACTGATTTGTTTACTATTCCCCAGCTCCCCCGCCATCCCCCCCATTCATTATCTTGATTCATATTGTTTCTTTTTCCTGACAAGCACTCCTCTCCTGTCCTAATTCCCCTCCCCAGGACCCTCCTCAAATGCCACCTCTTTCACAAAGCCTTCTCTGATCATCCAAGCTGGAAGTAATCTCTACCTGCTTTGAAGTCTCAGAACATGGTAACTGCTAGTTGTCACATTTTAACTTTAGAGGTATTTTTTTCCTGTTTAATCTCCTTAAGGGCAGGTCTAAGATGGTTCATCTTTGCATGCTCTACTTATGAATAGCATTAAGCAACTGATAAGTTCTGGAATGGCTAAACGAATGAATTAATATGTGAGTAAACAGGCTTCCTGGAATAGCACTCCTATCTAGGAGCTGGGATGGAGGCTAATGGGAATTTGAGGATATGATACATTGCCGTAGTAAGACACTGGGAAAGGGGGTACTCCCTTCCCCAATGCTCTACAGATACCATTAGCCCATTGGACAAAGTCCATTCAGGACACATTTACTGATGTCTCATATGTTCCTGGTTCAGTACTTGGTTTGAGAAATACAAAAGATATCATGTACCTTCACATTAGACACCTTCACATAGATAGCAAGGTGTTTCAGGGCTCTGGCCATTGGTATTAGGTATATAAGTCCCAAGCCATATCCCCAAGTGAGGCATCGCTAACTGTCATGAAATCTGTCACAGACTTGCCTTATTAGACCTACCTTGGCTTGGCTTGGCTTGACTAACTTATGCTCTGGTTGGTTTGACTAATCATTTCCCATTGTTTAAAAAATTTCATTCTAGTTATATTTTAAACTTTGTGTTTAATTTTAACTTTGTTAAAGCCAATTTTACTGTGGAGCTCAGGAGAATTGGCAGTGGGTTCTTTTACATTTGACTGTCTTCGGACTTTTGGGTCGACCTTTCTAGTCATCTTTCCCATTTCATTATTTTCCAATGTGTTGGGAACACTGTGTCATTTTATTTAAGTCAATCAATATTGATATTTGCTCAGGAAGAAAATAGACATAAATAACAGTCAAGTTTCAACATGGTGTTGTACATGTAAGAAAAACAAGTCCACTCATTTTGAAATCTGTTTCAATGCCTCCAGAACTATCCTTTCTCACAGCTGCCCTCTATTCTGGTGCACCTTTTTAAAAAAATTTATCTTTATTGTTGAAAGTATCACAGATGTCCACCTTCCCCCCCCGATTGATCCCCTCCACCCTTCATCCACCCCACCCCCAAGCTTTCCCCGTACTATTGTCTATGTCCACAGGTTAAGCATTTATGCATACAACTTCTTTGATTAATCTCTCCCCACCCATTCCCCCACCCCTGCCTTCCCTCTGAGATTCCTCAGTCTGTTCCATGCTTCTATGTCTCTGGATCCATTTTGGTTATCAGTTTATTTTGTTCATTATATTCCTCATGAGTGAGATCATGTGATACTTGTCTTTCTCTTATGGGCATGTGATACTTGTCTTTCTCTGACTAGCTTATTTCGCTTAGCGTAATACTCTCCAGTTCCCTCCATGCTGTCTCAAAGGGTAAGATATCCTTTTTTATGGCTGCATAGTATTCCATGGTATAAATATACTATTGTGGTGCACCTTTATATTCCAGCTTTGCTGACCTCTTTTAATACTTGAAGTTCTCTGAGTTTCTTTTTGTATCACTTTACTAAGTTAATTTCTACCTCTGCTTTAGGACTTAGCTTAGGCCTCTCATCCCTCAAGAAACCTATCACTCCTCCCCACCTCCATCCTTCCCCTTCTAGGATGAGTTACTTGCCCCTTATGTCCGTTTCTGTCACACCCTATGCCTCTTTCTGTCAAAGAACTTACTACAGCACATTATAGCTGTTAGTGTACTTGTCTGTTTTTTCTAGCAAGCTGAAGTCTCCCCAATAAATTGGCCTATATCTGATTCCTCTTTTGTATGTAGAAGTTAGCACAGTGTCCATTATATGTGACACTCAGTAAATGCTTATGAATGAGACAATCCAATGCCCAGCTTTCTAAATTCATTTCAAGATGGAAGCTATCAAGGAGTACTACTCACTTCTCTACTATTGGGCTTATGTTGTGGAAACATGAAATAGTAAGGAATTAATAACATTATTACATAGTTACATATGTGTGATTATAAACATTACATTATTAAATAATGTAAAACATTAACCAGTAGGTAATTAATTTCCTGTGTAAAAAAAAATACAGAATTCAGTTCCTGAGCAAATTCTGCCATATAAGCAATAATCTACTAGTTGGCATTTAACTATCATAAAAGTAGATGAACCAGACTATTGTGTACCCAGAAAAAAGGTAGATAAGGGAAGCATGAAGGGTAAAGAAGGGAGTGAGTGAGCAAAATACCAGTTAGTTGCAAACTAGCACAAAGGTGAATGTGCTCCACAAAGCTAGCTTGACTCAGAAGGGCTGAAATAGGAACAAAGAGCAAAAGGCAACCAACTGTGAAAGCAGGGATTCACAGGGACTGGGCAGCCACAAGCAGGTGAGCACCCAGATGGGGCATGGATCCTGTGGGACTGTGGTCACTCAGGCTCTGGGTGACAAGGAAGGAGGGAATCCAGAATGTGAAGCTCTGGGGAGGCTGAGTAGGGAGGAATAGTGTTTACTACAGAGACAAAGATACACTGAAAAAGACCTTAGAAGGAGATGAGCATAGAGACAAACACTGGCTGGCACCAAAGTCTCAATGAAAAGAATTGAAGATGGGGCTTTATTGGGGGTGAATAGGAGATAGAGAGCAAGAGATATTGAGAAGACCAATTCTGAAAGTAGTGGATTTAAATATACTGATGTATACTCTCCAGTTTATACAAAGTAAATCTGACTATGTACATTATTTTCAGTAGCATATAAAACTTCTTATATAATTGACACATTTGGAGAAACAGTCCTTCCTTGGAAGTTTGAAATCTTGATCTTCCAAAGGGTAGGTAATCTCTTTTTGGAAAGAAGTTATTACATTCTTGTTAAATGGGTGAGATTCAGTCCCTGAGCTATTGATCACTGTTTGTTCCTTCAGAGTATTTATTCAGCACCTACTATGTGTTAATTCTGTTCCAGCACCAGGAACACACCAGTGAAGAAAACAGATAAATATTCCTGCCCATGTATAGCTCACATTGGGAAGATGGGGGGAGGTGGTTGGAGAGCAGAGAGTATGAAAAAAAAACACACACCCCAAAGTAGTAAATTATATAGTGCATTAGAAGGTAAGAAGTGCTGTGGAGAAATATATCTGGGAAGGAAGGCAGAAGATATGTAAGTGACCAGGTGGGTTGCAATTTTAAATACAATGAACAAGGAAGGTCTCAGTGAGAACTGAGTGACATTTGAGCAAAGACTAACAAAGTGAATGAGCAAGCTGTACAGTCTGGTGTCATGTAAATAGGACACCATTCTGTATATACTCTAAATTGTGAGCCTTTCTATTACCATTCTTAAAGTAGCTAATCTTAAAGAAAATGAGATTAGAAGTGGTGTTAGAAGGTGGGGGTTGAGAGCAAAGGAGCATTTTATGTGTTCATCCTTTGCTTTCTTTAAAACCTGTTTAGTTTTACACTGAACACCTGGTATGACTCTGCAGTTTTTATTCCATGAAAACAGATACCTAGTATGCATTTTTTTTCCTTTTGAAATCTCTTTTGGAAGAAAAACAAATGTTTGCATAATGGAAATAGAAGCTGGAGAGGTTTTTCAGAAACCACAATAATAGAGAAAATATGAATGAGCCCTGAAGAAGCTGCTGTGTATCAGTTACAGAGATGGCAGAAGCTTGGTGACTGTAGAGTCCCTAAATACACTTCCTGGGGGAGAAGAGGGACCAAGTGTTGAATATGGTCAAGGCAAGATCTGTTAATGCTCAGAGAATCCTAAAGGTGGTTTTTGTTTTCAATTATTTAGATTGATCTACATGACCAGCTTATTTTCTGTAAAAGAAGAATCAGCCAAAGGGAGTAATTTAAGATGTGAGTATGAATCTGGCCAGGCAGCTACCCTGGTTTCAGTGGTTGATTTCCTAGGATGAAGTTTCCTTTGTGTAAGATTCTAAAAATTTTCCTTTCCTAACCAGTAGCTCCCATTCTTAACTTCAGGATAGAAGTTCAGCCTTGATAGTGTCCAAACTGATAATTCTAACTCTGCCTTTGTAGTACCTCAGAACGACTCTATTTTAAATAGTTTTAAATACCAAATGCAATTAATTTTAATTTGCTTTTATTTTATGTAATATGTTACCTGTGGGGAGAGAGGCGTATTGATAAAAAGAAGCCCTAGATCAGTAATCTTAAGAATGATTGAAAATCCTCAATCAGTATTCCAAATATACTGAGTATTCTGTTAGAGATAAGGGGACTGGGAAATGGGGACTTTGGAATTAGATCTTGTTAACCAGTAACTATGGCTTACACAAGGTGAAGTCCAGAGATAAAAGCTGAATCAGAAGACCCCCAAAAAACTGTTTTGGCACATCAAAATTATAACTAAACTACAGAACAAGCATCATTCAGATGGGTATGAGATATATCAGGATGATCACTTAGTAAGTTATATAAAGTCTAATCACTGGGGTATACACCTGAAACAAATATAATATTGTATGTCAGCTGTAATGGAGAAATAAAAAATGATTTAAAAAAACTTTTGAGCAAAATATATAAGGGGCAATTAAGGAAGCCTTAAATGTTAGAGGATAGCCCTGGCTTGTGTGGCTCAGTGGTTAGAGTGTCAGCCTGCGCACTGAAGGGTCTCAAGTTTGAATCATGGTCAAGGGCATGTACCTGAGTTTCAGGCTCAATTTCTGGCCCTAGTCAGGATTTGTGCGGGAGGCAACCGATTGATGTGTCTCTCTCACAACAATATTTCTCTCTTTCCCCCTCTCTCTCTCACCTCCCTTCCTCCCTCCCTCCCTCCCACTCTTAAAAAAAAAGAAAATCAATGAAAAAATATTCTTGGGTGAGGCTTACAAACAACAACAACAAAAAATGTTGGAGGATAGATATAACGTTCTTCCTTAATACCAGGAGAAGATACAGCCTATCCAGAAGACATTTTGCTATGTCATCTTTCTCTAGGTTTTCATCATCGTTTGTATCCAACCTACCATAATACACAAACTCAAAACAAATAATGCTGAGCACTAGTGCTAAGTTTCATGCCTTTGCTAAGGATACATTAAGAAATATAGGCAATAACTTGCCATAAGGGAGGCACTTTGGAATTAGGGAAAAAGAAAGGTTAGCAAGAGTGATAAGCATCTCACCACTGACCTGCTTAAGACTTTCAGCAAGTCATTGAACGTCTCTGTCTTAATTTGCCCGTCTGCCCTAAGATCTTTTGGGGATAGCATGGCCTGAAACCTGTGGAGGATGTTTTAAAAACTATAATGGTCTATTTAAGTGTTTTAAATTAAATTGAATATTTCCTTAAAATGTGGTTGTATGTGCAAGCCATTATCAATGTTGATCACAGGTGGCAGTCCAGTGACCTGGTTTTTGAAAACTGAACACCCCAGTGTTAGCACTTTATAACTTTAATTCAGAAATTGAAGCTTCTTATATCAAAAAGAAGAAAGAGAGAGGGTAACAGGGGGAGAGAGTGTTAGTATATGATCTAAAGACAAAATTGTCAAAATAGAAAGAAGAAAATTAGATTCAACAATAGGAGCAAGGTGTCAGAGAGAGAGCCTTTGAGTCTATGAGATCCACCCTACAATTAAAAGCAGAGCATGGGAAAATATATTTTAAATCCCAGTTTCCTTTTGCAACCAGATAGCCTTCAGAAAAGGTCCTAAGAACCTGTGTTACTCTGGTCTATCTTGTTGTTCTGGTTATTAGAAATAGAGAAGAAGGAGCACCTTAGGAAAGGGGTGGTACTTCTGTGATGGGTGTTTCTTCTTTTACAGGTGTAAACAAAAAGGCCAGTTGATCTAACCTTGTGTGTCTTTGTCCTATAAGCCACTGCAGGTGTTTGAACAGCATTGCTTCTGCAACAAAAGCATAGAGTCACCACATCTTGGGAATAGAATGACCACTTCCTGGGGAGCAGTCTTTTTCATGTTGGTAGCATCCTGTGTTTGCAGCACTGTCTTCCACACAAACCAGCAGACTTGGTTTGAGGGTGTTTTCCTGTCTTCCATGTGCCCCATCAATGTCAGTGCCAGCACCTTGTATGGAATTATGTTTGATGCAGGGAGCACTGGAACACGAATTCATGTTTACACCTTTGTGCAGAAAATACCAGGTAAGAGCAACTGGGTACCCTCACCAGAGTCAATAAATTCATACTCTAGCATCCCCTCCCAGAAGCAGATGTGCTGAGGGTTTGTGATGTGAATTATAGAATCTTATGGCTAATAAATGTCTTTCTTCAGAGAACATTTTGGACTATAATTGAGTAAATAAGGTTTAATTCAGTGTGAAATTAAGAGAGATCTGGGCTCCCTGTAGTTTGAAACTCATGTGTCCAAGAAGTATAGCTAAAATTTGTCTTTCCTTTTTTGGAAAAGTGGTTGATACTTCAGGGTCCAGAATATTGAGAATATTGGGAGTAGTTTTGAGAGAAGGATCACTACCATCCTTGGAGGAAGGGAGGAGGGGCCCTGAAGGTTAATTTTTTCTGAATTTCCAGTGTCTGTCTTCAGGTTACGTAAAGAGCCTAGGGAAATGAGTAGGAACTAGGTGTCCACCAGAGGACTGACAGAGGGATTCCCGAGGACTGCCTGTCATCCTCTGTCCTCCTCAATATTCGTCTATGTCATTCCTCACACGTGGGATCACCTGGAATAGCTCAGGGAATAGCAGGTTAACCCAGTAGGTCATATGACACAGAGCCCAGTATCAGAAGCAGCCTGGCTTGGTAATCAGCCATCTCTCTTCTGTTTTAATCCCTGAACAAAATAGGACAGCTTCCAATTCTAGAAGGGGAAATTTTTGATTCTGTGAAGCCAGGACTTTCTGCTTTTGTAGATCAACCTAAGCAGGTGAGTTTTTTTTTTACAATTACAATGAAATGTTTAGATTCTCAATGCCTTGATAACTTCACCACACAGCTGCTGTTAAATATCTCATGCTGATCACCACTAATACTGATGTTACGTGTGAGATCAGTTTTCTGTCCTCTGCTAATCTCCTGGATAACAATAATTATATACCCTGAGCTCAGTAGGGCTTTGGTGGAAGGAGGCTAGAATATCTTTGAAGAGATTGCTCCCTTTGTATTTACTGTTTAAGATTTTGAGTTTGAAGCCATCAGCTGCATTGATTAATGTAGATGCAGAAGATGGACGTGAAGTTCTAAAGGGTATGAGGTATAAACATGACAATTGAGGGAATGTAGATCCAGTGAACTCCTTTCAGAGTACCTTGATATAGGACAGAACCATGCCTATACTCTATAAATTAGGCAAGAACACATGATGAAAAAATCTTTGGTAATAGAGGATGAATTGGGAGTTTTGTTGTGACTGTGTTTCACATTGGAGCACCCACAACATGCAACACCCAGTGTGTCAGAGGCCACATTAAAATAGAATAAGGCAGAATGTTGAACTTTGGTAGCAGACATAAAGGTATTGTTCAGTGTCACAAGCATAATCATTAAAAGGAAAACCTGATGTTAAAAATGGTTTGAACTTGAAGAACTGAGAAGATGTTTATTTTCTCAGCTCACTGTTTTGAAATGGCAAATGTGCTAGAAAACTAAGAGTTATTGAAAGCAACTACATTATCAGAAAATGATTTGACATTTGGAGAAGAGGCTTGTGTTACGGTTGCTATTAATTATAATGATTAACAGACAGCATATTGTCAGGATAGGTATTTACTCAGGGAAACAGAGGATTTAAATAATGGTTTTGAATTAATCATAAATTGAGCATCTACTGTGTACCATGCAAGTAGTTGCTGGTGATGCAAAAATGAACCTGACATATTCTGTCCTTATGGAAATATAAAAAGAGTAGCATAATAAGAGCAACAGCTAGCATTTGTGTGGAAATACACACAGTCTGCCTTATCTAATATACACAGCAGTTTTGGTGGTATGAGGCAAATCTCCCATCTCACATCTGAGGATGCCAAGCCTAGGAATCCCCTTTTAGGCCACAGGGTTGGCAAGCACGTCTTCTAACTCCTAATTGTGTGTTTCCTTCACTATACTCAACTTTCTGGCCTGAGGCTAATTTATATGAGATACAAAATAGCAATCAGTTAAAATAACCACACTATAAAAGAGTCATTTTTATTGTTACTTAATCAAAATGACATGGATTCTCCTTCAAAGAAGCCCACTCTCTCTGTTTCTGCTCCTACAGAGCAGAGAGGTAGCCCTCTGCTACCTCACTCCTGTTACTCCCCAGAGCATGGTGAGCGGATGCACAAGTGCCACTATATGGACTGTTCATTGCATGAATGGCTTTTCTCTTTTTGAAGGGTGCTGAGACTGTTCAAGAGCTCTTAGAGGTGGCCAAAGACTCAATCCCCCGAAATCACTGGAAAAGGACCCCAGTGGTCTTGAAGGCAACAGCAGGACTGCGCTTACTGCCAGAACAGAAAGCCCAGGCTCTGCTCTTTGAGGTAATTTTTGAAATCTGCATCTTGGATAATTCTTTTTCCCTATGTAAGTATTTTCTTTATGAGTTTAAAGCCCTCTGGAGTGTTACTGTTACCTTTAGTATTCCACCATTGCTGAAGCACTGTGGTGACTTTGGGCTCTTTTGTAGCTAGTTATTTACATTTTTAAAATATTACTCTTGATTCTATAGAGCTTTTCCTAAAAAAGTTTAAAGTACTTCCTATCCATGATGTTATTTTTTTTAATTGTTCCTCTCCATGGAAATCTTTAGTAAAAGGTGAAAAATTTATGCTATCTGAAGAGAAACCAGAGTATCCATGATGTTCTTTTTTACAAAAATATTTTTATTGCTTTTTAGAGAGAGAGGAGGGGAGAGGGAGAGAGAGAAACATTGATGTGAGAATGAAACATCAATCAGTTGCCTCCTGCATGCCCCCTACCTGGGATCGAGCTCACAACCTGGGCATGTGCCCTGATCAGGAATCCAACCCACAACCTTTGGTGCACTAGAAGGCACCCAACCAACTGAGCCACACTGGCCAGGACAGTGATGTTATTAATTCTCTTAACTTGTTAACAACTCCTAAAGTTGTTTTTAATCAACTTTAATGTGGAGTAACTTACATACAGTTAGTATATATAGTATCCATTTTAAGTATACAGTTAAATGAGTGTTGACAAATACAGACATTTCTTGTGTCCCTTTGTGGTCAGTTTCCCCCTCCAGTGAAACCAGGCAACCATTGATCTGCTTTATGTAATTATAGATTCATTTTGCTTGTTCTTACATTTCATATAAATGGAATCATACAGTTTATATTCTCTTTTTTTGTGTGCCTGACTTTTTTCTCTCAGTATAAAGGTTTTGAGAAGAAACACAGAATTATAAAGTGTGAAAGATTTGTAAAAATAATCTATTTTATCTCATATCAAAACTAAGTACAGAGTTTTAAAAACTCAGTATTTTTAACATTACTTTACATTTTGTTATGCAAAACATGCAAATTAATAAGATTAATAAGATAATATTGTGAAGAATATATGCAGAATCCCAAAAAATCACAACAAAAAATGATTCTGTATTACAGGTGTGTTAATTCAGTCTTACAAATCCATTCTCTTTTGTGAGTACAGAGGGCTTTACTCCCTTGCCCAAGGACAAACTGCCTGGAATGTCCTTATGAGAATTTGAATCACAGTGAGGAATTCATTCATTCATTCATTCATTCATTCACTCATTTATTCATCATATGAGTGCTTTACTATGTACTGGGCACTGATGAAATTACTAGGGACATAGCGCAGGGAACAAAAATAACTGTCTCTGTCCTCATGAAACTAACATTCTAGTTGCCAAAACAAAATAACCAAGTCAGTACAAAGTATGTCAGGTGCTTTAGAAGCTATGGAGAAAAAATAAAGCAGGGTAAGACAGATAGAGAATGCTGGTGGTAGGGTGGGGGAGATTCTATGTTAAATAGGGTGGTCAGGGAAGACCTCATTGATAAGATTCATTTGATCAGAGATCTGAAGGGAATGAAGGAACAAGCTATGCAAGACATTTGTGGGTAGAATATTCTAGTCTAAAGAAACAGGTACAGAGGCAGGAATGTGCTTGGTATATTCATGGAACAGCATCCAGGGTAGATGGACTGGAGGAGAGTGAGTGATGGAAGGGAAGTAGGCGATGAGTTCAGAGAGGTGGGAGGAGTTTATCATGTAGGACATCAAAGGCCAGTGTAAGGACTTTGGCTTTTTCTCTAAGAAGGAAGCCACTGAAGGGTTTTGAGTTAAGGAGAGACATGACCTGATTTTTGTTTTTAAAGCACAACTCTGGCTGCTGTGTTGAGAATAAACTGTGGGCAGAGGCATGGAGTGGAAAGGGCAAGAGCAGAAACTCTGTGTTTATTCCTGTTTGCTTATCTATCTTCTTTAATGCTTGTTTATGGGTCACTTAACCGGCTTTTCCTGGTTGAAACAGGGTCCAGAGGTCATTGCATAAAGTGTTTTGTCCTTTCAGAAATGAAAACAACCAACAGACTAGAATTTTTCCTATTCCTATTTGGAAAACCCTCCCCCCCAAATGATAATCATGTGAGAATAAGACATAACACCCCTATCATTGACCTATATTTATGGAGAGTCAAGAGTGTGTGCAAGCTCTTCATTCTCATCTTCTAAAATAGAATAAATAAATCTAGATTTGGGATCTCTAGATTCTTTCGAGACCCCAGCCATATGCCAGGATTTGACAGGGGCTAACAGCAGAGTACCTCAGCCTGGGGACACGAGCTCCTTCACCAGGAAAGACAAAGACTATAGAATTTGCTAGGAGAGCAGCAGAAACTTTCTTGTAGCTTCAGGAGCCACCCAAGCCCAACTCTTCTCTACTCCAAGTTTATTTGCTCATCTAAGAAATGGAGTGGGAAGGGGTCATCTTAGCTTCCAGTACGTATCCAGGTAGAATTAATCAGGTGTTTTTTAAAAAATGACAGGTTCCTGATTTGAGCTGGCAGGGTCAAATGTATGCCCTTTCCTAGGCCTAGTTCACCTCTAAATGTAGATTGTTTGGTTGTGATTTATTTTAAAGTCAAGGGAATCCCTGTGTTTTCTTTTAATAAGAAACCAATAATAGCTTGCATAGTTCCTTCTCTAGTTTCTTTAGGGAAAAGGAACGAGTTCTGCTTAGATTTTATTTAGGGAAAATGAAGAGTAGTTTTCTAAGCCTTTTAGGATATAGCCAAAATATAGAAATCTGTTTTATTGCCTTAGGGAATTCAAATTTTTCCCTTTTTCTCTAGGTAAAAGAGGTCTTCAAGAAGTCACCTTTCTTGGTACCAGATGACAGTGTTAGCATCATGGATGGATCCTATGAAGGTGGAGAGGTGTTGATATATGTTCTAGAGGGAGAGGGCTAGGATTAATAAAATGTCTGATTAAAGGAACTATGAAGAAGGATGGGGGTGAAGAAAAAGGAACTAAGGAGAAACAAGTATGGAGGAATGGGATAGCAGGAAATGGTAGGACAGGGAGAAGGGAAGTGTGTGCTTATGCATGAACTTTAGAGAGAGAAAAAACAAAGATGGGGCCAGGGAAGAGAGGGAAAATGCTCTGCGATGTAATCCTTCTCTTTCTCTTTTTTAGGCATATTAGCTTGGATTACTGTGAATTTTCTGACAGGTAATACATTCTCAAGTGTATCTTAAGCTCTTGACTGGGTTTCACACAGGGTCAGAGAGCAAAATTACCTTTCTTTTTTTCCTGGAGGAAAGGAAAGACAGGAAGTTAGTGTTTATAACCTGCTTTCGAGGCCTCAGCTGCAGCAAGAGTCCTTCTAAGTTAACATTTGCCAGCAAGTTGTGGGGGCAGGGAGCAGTTGAGGGTTTATGGAATTCCTCCAGAGCAGGAGAGAAATTATAGACAGAGGAGTATTGAGAAGTATTGGGTTGTCCAGGAAGCAGATGGTGTTCAAACTAGCTCTCATTCACAGGTCAGCTGCATGGCCACAGTCAGGAAACTGTGGGGACCCTGGACCTGGGGGGGGCTTCCACCCAAATCACGTTCCTACCCCAGTTTCAGGTGAGTCATTAACATGAAGATTTGGTTAGCAACTTCTTTGGTGCTAAGAAAGTGGTGCTCTATTTTTAGGCAGTAGCTCTACCACAAATAGGCTGAGTAGAGTCAGTTAATAACTGAGTGAACTTTTCTTTGCTACTGTTCAGAGTCCCTTTGATTCCTCAAGCCATATGAGATTAGCAGTTTAATCTAGCTCCTTCATCTCTGAATTTCTGGGGGAGGGACAGGGATGGTGGTGATAACATCCTTAGATAATCACAGATTCTAATAGTATTTATGCTTTTTCTGATTTGCAGAAAACCCTGGAACAAACCCCTAGGGGCTACCTCACTTCCTTTGAGATGTTTAACAGCACTTATAAGCTCTATACACATAGGTGAGGAGGGGGACAGAGAAGAATAATATTTCACTTAATATGAGTCTCCTAATTTTTTAAAGCATTTTCACATCTATTATTGCATCTGACAAGCCTTACATAGTCTTTGCCAATCCCCTGAGGCCTATTACCTGAAATCCAACCCACTTACCAAATGCCAAGGGACCCAAAGATTTCTCCATTCTTGGTTTCCAAAGTATATATATGACTTAGAGTCAAAAGTTTTCTCTATAAAGAGGACACTCAGGAAAAATTCAGCTGAAGCTCTGTGCCAACTCCATTGAGCTTTCCTTCAGATGTTCAAAATCCAGCCTGGGATTTGACACAGTGAGGCTGGGAGCTAAGATAATGAAAGCTTTTCAGGGGATGGTTCCTAGGGTGGGACCCTAGGAAGCATTACTATCTCTGGCCTTTAAATCATAGCTGTAGAAAGTAGTTTCTACATGGCCTTGTTCTAAACTGTGCAGAAATTAACACTTACTGTCCACACTAGATGAATAGGTCACAGAGAACAAGGTTTTCCTCCCTTTTGAGGAAGACAGAGAAACCATGTTAGTTTTGAAAGAGGTGGCTTTAGGCTGGAGAACTTCAGGACCAGCATGAAATTAGTCAACCCTGTATTTTACAGTTACTTGGGATTTGGATTGAAAGCCGCAAGACTAGCAACTCTGGGAGCCCTGGAAACAGAAGGTTCGTCTGGGTTCCTGTGCTGGTTGGGGTGTGGTGAGAGTGACACCAGTACTCAGCTTGCCTTTTCCCTCCCTTGGCAGTGATTCTGTGGAGGAAAGGGTTATGCTGAATTAGGAAGCGTGTGTTGTACAATGGATGTAGTAATAGCGAATTCCTTTTCTCTATGAATTCAGATGCATTTTGGTATTCATTATTAGCCATTTCTAGAATGAAGTCTGTTTGTATGGAGGAACAGCCTATGGTCAGGAGGCTGAAGTATCTGCAGAAATTCAAGGCTCAAAGAGTGAATTTGGCAGGAGCTTGCTCAAGCCCTTGGCTTTATGTGGGAGGTGCAGGATGCAGTAAAGTCCACTTGCAGGGCAGAATAGCTGAGAAAAACTCTGTCACCTCTTCACAGGTGGCAGAAGGGTTAAGAGCTCAGCTTTGGAGGTCAGGCAGAACTGGGTTCAGTTTCAGTTATGTGATTTGGGGCAAGTTAGCTACCTTTCTGTGCCCCTTTCCTCACCTTAAATAAGATTTTGCATGTAATGCACTTTGTACGGTACCTGGCTCGCAGTAAGCTATTGTGGTGGTGATTGTATAGCATTTTACAGTTTATAAAATATCTTCAAGTGTGTCTCACTTAAGCCTCACAATAACCAATGAGAAAAGTAGAACAGTATTCCTCTCCCCTTTTTTTTAAGAAAGGAGGGAACTTACTCCATTGTAGGTTTTGGCTTTCTTTGGGATGTGATGAAAGCCGTGGAATCCTCTGCCAGATGCACATACACACAAAAGTCTGCTCATAGCTTTAGGGGCTTCACCAACACCACAAAGCTCATCTATGAACCCTGTTAAGAATTCCTGTCATAGGATGTAGCCATGAAACTAATTTCATATGATTTTAAGGCCTAGCTACTGTGGTGATTACTTTCAACCTTACTGGCTCTTGCTTGCCTCCCTCACATCCTTGCCTCTTACTTTGTGGGTTTTGTTTGTGTGTGTGGTTTTTTTCAGGGACTGAGGGACACACTTTTCGAAGTGCCTGTCTACCAAGATGGTTAGAAGCGGAGTGGATATTTGGGGGCGTGAAATACCAGTATGGTGGCAACCAAGAAGGCAAGTGATGTTTTTACACTGGTTGAAATTATTTTTACACTTGAAGTCTGAAAGAGTTCCATGGGAATCTTTTTACAGAGCTCAAGAGAAACTTGTCATGTTGCAGGGACTCAATGCAGAGGTCTTGGTATGCCTCCAAGAAATAGTGGGAAGTGACAGTGAGCAAGGCAGCCATCATTCTGTATCCTGCTCTTTCCCTGGCCAAGTGTCCTGCATCCATTCTTACCCTGGATCTAATGCATTTAGGGTCTCTGCCCTCAGCAGGGTGAAACTTTCAGGTTCAGTTAAATGTTTAGCTGTTTAAGTTATAGTAAAACTTAAACTTGAGATGTAGGGAGACTAATTCACTTTACATATTATAAAAGGCACAGAACTTAAAATCAAGGAAAAAACTTGACTTTTGCAATAAAGGAAGCAGGCAAGACTTCTAGCTACTTTTCATAAGCACCATGAAACATAATTTGGGGCAGCAGCTTGAAGCCAACTGGGGCTGTTTTTGGTAAACACAAGTTAGGGAGGGGAGCCCTAGAGAAGCAGGGGCCTTTCCTCCAGAGTGCGAGGCTATGGAAGTTTGCTTATTTTTGTTTGTAAGACCTTTGTCCTGAGCTTCAGCCTCAGCTTTTCTC